CCCCGGCCTTGCTGTTGTTGCAGGGTGTCACCTTGCATGGAGGTGGGCCATACACTCTGCAGTGCTGAAGGCCTGGTGGCTCTGAATGTTCATTGCTAAATGCTTAAAAACTGTTTTTTTTTCTTAAGTATTTCCTTTTATTAGTGCACGTTTTCAGTACATAATGTTTACATTTAAATCCTCCCTTTGCAAAGGCTGTTCATGGGCTCCCTGGAGATTCCTTCCTGTTGGTGCCAGACCAGCTGACTTTGAGGCCTCTGAAGCTATGTTCTGGTGGCCAGGCACTGGGCATGGTCTGGGCCCTGAAACATAGGAAAGGGATTTAGCCCCAGGTTTATAGGACAAGAGTCCAGATGTGCAAAAAGAACATTTCCAGCTCTGCCCAGTGCTCCCTGAGCAAACTGCCCCCGATCTTGTCCTGATAACCCCTCCTCGGGAATGTCCTTCAGTCACCCTAACCTTGACGTGTCCAAGACTGATGTGTTATCTTTATCCCAGACTAATGCCACCTTCTCTTCAGCTCTCCTACGAATGGGACAAGAGAGAGAATGAGTGGGATTTGGGCAGTCGGGCTGGGATTCTGAGCCAGTCTGGTTTGATTCCTGTCCTCAGGACACTCTGCAGAGGGCAATGGCTGCAAAACGCAGTCTGTGTTTCCTGTTTCTGTACTGATGCTGGACTGATCTTTTATCTCTTACGTCCTTCTTTGACTGCCTCCACCTACAGAGCAGGAAAGAGCCTCCACCGTCTGTCCATCACTGCAGCCTCACCTCTGGCAGCCTCACTCCAGGGCCGATCTCTCCATCCTGTTTCAGCTCCTGCAATTGGCCCATCTCAGCTCCTTCATTTCCTGACTTTTCCTTGCCCCATGCCTTTGCTTTCTCGTTTTTTTCCTGGGTGCTATCTCTTTCCTTTTTACTCTATATTCAAGCCCCTACTCATCCGCGGAAAGGCAGCCCCTTCCCAACCTCCTCCATGAAACTTCTCTGTGCTCCGGGGAGTTGATCACTTCCCCTTTCTGCACTCCCCTCTGTACTGATTTTTACCAGTTGTGGGCCAGAATACTGTGTTGGGCCTGTATGTTTACACTTATCTTTTCAGCCGGGCAGGGAGCTCCTAAAGGGAAAGAATCCTGTGTGGTTCGTTTTAAAAATTCCTAGCTTGTTAAATCAGGACTTGGTATACATTCTTATGTCCACAAAAAGGGCGGGGGAGGGTTTGTATGAATGAGTGTGAACGCGCTCTTAAACCCTAAGTGGCTGTACAAACGGAAGGTGTTCCAGTGATAAGCCGCAGGTGACCACTTTCTGGAAAAGGTGAGGGGATTGGAAAAAAGGGAAAAGACACTTTCTCCAAAGCAAAGCCTAAGAACAAAAATAAGGGTTTGGAACGTGGAAGTGCTAACAACAGAAACTAGACCAAAAAAGAATCAACCTTAAAAACCTCTTGGTTGAATTTTGGAATATGAGCAAAAGGACTTAGAAACAGAAGCGCTTTTTTATTTTATTTCTACAGTAGAACTATCTACAAGTCAGAGGAGAATGAAAGGGTAGAAAGACTATAAAGAACAAACAGACATTATAACTATAAATAACTATCTTTTCTTCTCTTCTGGTTTATATTTGTCAGCTAGCAGGTTGTAACATTTTAAATGTGATTTCAAAGGAAGAACAGAGGATAGAGGGGCAACTAAATTCTTTGGGGGCTTTTTGTAGAAATAAGGTAAGTTGTCAAGAGCACCGAACCTGCCTGCTACCCTACTAATCTCTCCAGAAAACGTTTGCATCCTTTATTATCTGGACCAGCGCTATGGAGAGGGACTGTGAGGTGTACCTCTGTCTGTTGTCCTCCACCCTGTCATGCACATGTTCTTTATGAATGTAGTAAAATGAATTGCTAGAAAAATTAAATAGAAAAGACTAAGACATACCTAATACAAGCACAGACTTATTTCTAGACTCAGCAGTTTGTCACTTGTTCTGTTGAACTATTATAAAAGCTTCTGTATTTACCTCATTGTAGATTGGAAAGAGTGCAAACTGATTCCTGTACATTTACCACACCTTAAAGAGCACTTGGCTATTTTCAGTAACAGACTATACCAGCAGTGAACAGTTAACAAGCGGAGAACACTCATGTACAGATTTATAATAGTGGAGATCTTAAGGGCATAAACTAATTAGAAAACAAATGCTTTAAAGAAAATCTAAAATCACAAAATGGAAAATTACTTGAAAGGTCAAAAGCTCTTCTTTTGTGCGCATCTCCCCAGGCTCCCTCCAGGAGGTAGAGTGAGTTCTTTGACCCTCTTGGACAATAACTGTTTGCAGTGCAAAAGTTTTAAACTGATGTTTCATTAGGGCCGGGTGTGATGGTATATGCCTATAATCTCAGCATTCAGGAGGCAGAGGCAGGAGGATTGCCACAGCCTAGGCTACCTAGTGAGTTCAGGGCCAGCCTGAGCTACAAAGAAGATCCTGTCTCAAAAACAAAACAAAACAAAACAAATAAACTTGATCCTTACTTTTTAAGAGTCGGGGAGCCTGCGGTGCTGACATCCAGCCAATAACATTAATAAGCAGCATGACAGGCTCTAATAAATCTCATCAGGATCCTGACTGTCATTTTGAGCACAGAATGAGCTGTTATTATCACAGAGCTGCAAACCTCTCATTTTGGCTCCAGATGATTACAGCTGCTAGTGCAGCCCTTGCTAAAGTAGTTTTTAGTAACTGGTTCAGGGTTAAAGTATCATATTTAAAAGACTTAATGATGATCAGTGTGGGGAACCAGTCGTGGCTATGCGACTTTGATGTGTTTCTGGAGTGACCTACAAAAATGTGGCCTCCTAATGATCTATTTTCTCAACAATTTCAGAAAACAAGCAGCTCTTAAAATCTAGTGTCTCTACCACAGACCCTGAGGGTTTTGAAACCCTTTCAATTGGAGATGGGCCATTATTTGTTGGAAAGGGGCCATGATTCTTTTTCTCTAATCCCAGATGAAATTTTTTAGCCCCTTAACTCAGTCTTTCTTTCACATAAAGAATTTAGTCTCGGGTTTCTGTGAATGAGCAAGCTTCGTATTCAAAGTGAGGAAAAAGCTTGTTAATTCTCTCTTTAGAGGCGCTGGAGCCAGCTGGGTAATCTGGCACGCCTGCATCATTTCAGTCCTACTCTCCAGCTCTGTTGGTGTGGGTCATGTCAGGCTGCACTGTTTGGTTTTGCTGTCTTAATTTTGCATACAATATGTTCTATTAAAGTGTCCAGCAGAGTATTAATCTATTATCAAATATAATCCAGTGTGAATTGAGTATGAGTCTGTTCCTTTGTACCATGTGCACCATGTAACTGAAGTATGGATGGATACTTTTAGTTTGTTGAGGGAGTGTGGATTTGTGTTTGTTATTAGTGTTTGGTGATGGGTTTTTTGTTGTTGTTGCTTTTTTTGCTTCTCGTACTAAATATCGAACCCAAGATCTTTATTCTAAGCTACATCCCTATCCCTTTTATTTTATTTTTTTCATTTTAAAACATGTTCTCATTAATTTTTAGCTAAGTTGCCCAGGCTGGAAAGTACAGGTTTTATGTGTTGATCAGAATGTACCATTACTTCAATTCTAGTTTTCATTCGCTTCTCTTGGCTGGGCATTAACTGTTCCTGACAGTAAGGAGAAAAGGTCTTGCTATTGAGAGTTTTAATGCCAGCCTCACTTAACCCTTACAAACCTAATTTGTTATTGAGATGACCGCTTTCTTTGAGAAGCTGTTACCACGAAAGCTTACCTTCAAAAAGTTGATTAGCACTGATTCATATACGATAGTGGTTGTAGTACCAAAGATGTGACATCAAAGTATGGCATCAACTTAAAATTTGATAGGAACTGTAAGATGTGCTGTTTAAGAAAGTTAACGATGAATCCTTCACCTTTAACTGGAGTGACAAAGCATGACAGAATGAATGAGGATTATGAAAAGCTGTAAGATACAATTAACTGATGGTTCTTAAATTTCAGCTTCTTCTGCTAGTTGCATCTGAAGACCATTGTATTTGCTGCTGGACAGTGCCATGGGCCATGGTGCTGGGCTGGTGGTGTGGTGACTTTCTTCTGCACACTGCGGGTCACATGTTGTGTTTGGTGGGAGGCCATGCTGCATTGTTCAACTCAGAGCAGGGAACTGTATTTATTTTTTTATTTTATGTTATTTCAGCTGCTTTCACTTTTTTCTTTTATTGTTTTCTTGCCTCCTGCAGTTCTTTTTCAAGCATTGCTGGGGAGATGGGAACACTCAGTCATGAACTCTTCAGCACACGAGCGGCAGAAAGCAGTTTTCCCCTGTCTCAGCGGTGCCAATAGCTTCTTAGCCACCTCTGTTTAGTCTGCTGTGGGTCTGACTCTGTGTGGGAAACTGTTTCTATGTTGAAACATAAAAAATAATTTCAGAGTCTTCCCCTGGCTGATGAATATAGCCTATCACATAGAATAAGCGAATGATGTGCTTATTTTTAAATACTTTTAGTAAGTTGGTTTTTTAAGGAAAATTTGGTTCTATATTTTAACAGCTGATATCTTTATGATTTAAAGATTGTGCTTAAAGTAACTATAGCATTTCAGAAATTTTATTTCTGGCTTCCAAATATATGAATTTTGGAGTGTCTTTTTAGGACACAAATCAGTCAGAGGGACAGGAGATTATGTTACACTAAAACTTTGGTGTTACTGGTAACTGTTAACCACACTCATCAAGGGAAGCTTTAATACATTTGGAGGTAATGCACTAATATGTACCACACTCTTTCCCTTTGATAAAAATTCATGTTCTAGAAATAGTTTAAGTGTTATCATCATTAATGAGAGAGCAGTTCTGTATTCACACAGTTAATGAGCACATCGGTATCATAATTACTTGAAACGGATGTGAATGATTCATCTTGCATAATTAAAGGTGACTTGGAAAAGGTCAGGAGTGTTTAAGGAGCCCTTCTCATTGATTTCACAGGATTACCTAGACTGTATCAGGGATCAAACAAAACTTCCCCTGGAGACTGAAGATAGATCTGCCCTTTTTGGAAACATACAAGATATCTACCACTTCAATAGGTAAGTAGATTCTCATAAGGTTGTTCTCACATAGGAAATTTATGAATTTTTCTTGAATATAGCCTAGGAAAATTTTACCTATGACCCCTGAGAATTTTTATGGCCATTATGCTGTGGGGTTTTCTGACTAGAAACATCTCTGTTTCCTCTGTGATTATTACAGTTATTCAAAATTCTACTCCTTTCCATATTTGTCCTGGGAGAGCATTAACATTTTTATTCCACAGGAGGATGTGAATAGGACATTGAGAAATACAAACGTGCCTGGCTTCCAGCACCCTTCTATGCTGGATTTTCTATAAATTTTCTTTACATGCAGTAAATCCTTTAAGTCATAACATAGACTTTAATTAATAATCATTTCAAATAATTTAATTCAAACACTAATTCTCTCACTTTTTGTCTTTGTTCAAATCTTACTTTCTCAACAAGGCTTCCCCACTCCACACACACACACACACACACACTCTTCACCTCCTCTACTTTTTCCATTTCTTGTAGCACCCATCAATTTCTAACATACTCTTGCTGAGCTTTTAGATTATTTCTGCGGTTTTGTTCCCCACCTAGCTCACAGAACATAGGGTTGTTGTTTCATTCCCCACCCATCTCACAGAACATGGGGATCTGTCTGCTTTGTTACTACCCAAGGGTCTAAAACAGCTCTTAGCCCATAGGGTCATTCAAACTTTTATTGAACAAATGAATGGAAATCTGCCCAAAGTTGATAAACTGATACACCTCACGTGTCAGGTCAGTGCCAGCAAGCCTTAAATGTTACTGGTGATGATGTGGCTTTTGCTATACTGAAATACCATTATAAAATTCCACCCTGTACTGTCATTGTGTGGCTCAACTATAATGCTAGCTGAATCTTGTCCCTCTTTGCTTAATAAGGTTGGCCAAGGTGAGCTCACTGGGGACCAGACCCCATCTCCTTTGCCAACCCCCACATCCCTGTGTCCCAGCACTAGCCTGTCCTTTGGGAGACGTTGTTGTTGAGTGGAATCAACTTGTCCTTTGATTCTAAAAACATAGGATGTGGGAAACACCAGTATTACATCAGGGTTTCTTGCTCATGTAACTCTGCCTTTGAAAACCAGTTTATGGTTGAGTCAGTGGTTCTCCATCAAGGCTACACGCTGGCATCACCAGGGAAGCTTTTTAAAAAGATAACAGTGGACGGATCCAACCTCCAGAGAGTTTTACTCATTGGTCAGGAGTGGGATCAGAATTTTTCATAAGGTCCTCAGGTAGTTTGTAATGTGCAGCCATGGTGAGAAGCACTGTACAGATAAACACAACAATAAGAAGAGAGATAAAAGGAAGAAAAAAACTGAAATGGCGAACCCCTGTTCAATAGCGAAGTGTTAGTGTTAAGGCAGGCCCCATTTAGCTGATAAAATCCCACGAGTGTGGTTTCTCTTTCCAAAGTCATGAAAGACACTAATGGCCTGAAAAGAGGAGAGAGAATTCTAGGAAGGCCCTGGCCCAAGTCTCCTTCCTGTGCCTTGTCTGTTAGTTGATGGTAACAGGTAGTTACAGCATGCTTCCTTCATGCCGGAGGCCAGAGAGCTTTAGACAATTACCACTTCAGATTCATCATCCGGGACTCGCTACTCTATTGAGCCATGTGCCCTCCTGCCAGAGCGGAGCCCAACTTCTCAAGCCGTGAGTTCTGTAGTGTGAGACTCCAGGAGCACTTTTTACTCCCTGGAATTTAAATGTCAGTGTGCCTCTTGATTTAAATACAGATAAAAATTAGTTAGCAAAAGAGACTCAGAAGTGGAGCCCAGTCTGCAAAATTTGGGTGAATGAGAAGATCTTGACATTCCTGAATGGGTCCGTGGTTCTTCGCTATTTCGGGTCCCTTGACCATGAAAGTCAGACCTGTCTAAAATAAACCTGAGTCAGGGCAAAGGAAGAAGCTGAGGATGATGTGTCATCAATATAAGGCATCAGTGGAATGACACAGTCACAGGGGTCATGTTCGCACCTGTCCCTGTGTAGATCACTTCAGTACATTTCCTGAACTCGCATTATCTCATTTAATCATCCTCGCCACTTTTTAAGGCAGAAAGGATGCAATATTGTTCGTACTTTCTTTGTGTGTGTGTGTGTGTGTGTGTGTGTGTGTGTGTCTCACTGGGGATTGAACCCAGGGCTTGAGCACTGAGCTAAATCCCCGGTGTCTCTCTCTCTCTCTCTCTCTCTCTCTCTCTCTCTCTCTCTCTAAGTTGTCCAGTCTGGGGCTCAAACTTGAGACCCTCCTGACTTAGCCTCCCACAGTGCTGGAATTATAGACATGCACCATCATGCCCGGCTTGTACCCACATTTTATAAATGAGAAACCAACTTACCGACCAGAAAGTCCTCTGCTCAAGGACATAGAGCTACAGTTGCAGTGTCATCCACCTTGAATACCTGGTTTTGTCAAATCTGTAATATCTTTCAATGTTTTCAAAATATCTGGTTTAATTTTTATAGCCAAGTTGTTTGTTATATTTTATCCCTCATTTGTTTTTATTTCCTTTCTCTTAAACCTAGAATCTAAATTTAGAGCTCACATGTCTTTGATGTTATTGTATTTGGTTAAGTAAGAATATTGATGTGACTTTCTATGTCAGTTTTCCTAATGAATTTTTTATTATATACCTTAATTGTTAATTTCAAAGATACAGCTATCTGGCAAATCGATGTTGGGCCTTCAAATAATAAACTTTGCAGTTTCTATTATTAGTTCAGGTCCAGGTTTTCAACATAACATAATAATATTGTGACCAACTAGGCAAGACTTAAATCTCCAAAATTAAAGAGAGCCAAAAAAAAAAAATGGCTTAACTGTGGTCTGAAAGTTTTAGCTGACTAGATTTCTTTTTTCAGGAAATATAGACTGAGCATCCCTAATCTGAAAATCCTAAATTCTAAATGCTCCAAAATCTGAAGCTTTCTGAGCATTGCTATAATGCCACAGGTGGAAAATCCCACATCAGACCATATGTGACATGTTGTGGTCAAAATGCACTAAAAATTACTTTCAGGCTGTGTGTAGAAGGTGTACATGAAACAAATCAATTTTATTTTTAGATTTGTATCCCATCTCCAAGATATCTCACTGAGTATATGCCAGTAGTCCAAAAAAAATTTTTTTTAATCTGAAATCTAAAATACTTCTGGTGAGCTGGGGATATAATTCAGTGGCGCCATGCCTGCCTTGCAAGCATCAGGTCCTGAGTTCAATCTCCAGTACCTGAAAAAAAGAAAAAGTAAAACCAAAATACTTCTGGTCCCAAGTATAAGGGATAAGGGATATTCAACCTGTCTTTCCAAAATACAGAAAAGAGTAGAGTGATATGATAAGCATCCATGAAGCACTCCGAACTCTAGCAAAGCTGTTTTTTGTACTATATTTGCTTTAGAAATTATTTGAAGCATAAAGACATCAAAAATATCATTAAAGCCGCTTACATACCCTGGCCCAATCTCATTGTGCTTTGAGGAGAAAGGCTCACTAATGTGTGTGTGGTAAGCAATTCTCAAACACAAAGATCAGAGAGGGAAAATCCAGAAGTTGGCGTGTTACTGATGTCCATAGTGTAAACACTCCCACCTCGACAGAATTCAAGATGCTAACAGAACAGCACTGCAGATGAGGAAACTGTGGACAGAAGGGCCTCAGGCAAAGCCTATTATCTGGCTCAGTACTCCGCTATACTATAACTACTAAGTCTTGGTGTTTCATTCCCTAGCATGGTTTTGGTTTTTTGCCCTTATTGTATATGTAAGTATTTATTTAAAATATGCAACGTGCTTTCATTTATTTCAAATGGGTGGTATCAGCTTCTTACAGACATTCTTCACCCAGCACTGTTTTTGAGATTTAAACTGTAATTCATTTATTTACTGTTCCATGTGAAGGGATCTATCACTTTGAGTCTTGCCAGTTGTAGTGCATGAAAGTATCATTTCTTATTGGCCATTTAGGTTTCTTCTGTAATCTTCTGGCTTATAATCATCGCCTGTTTTCTTGTTGAGTGTTTCTTTTCCTTATTGTCATGTAGGAGTTCTCGATGGATCCTGGCTAGTGATCTTTGTGGTTTGAGTTGCACATATCTCCTAGCATGAGGCACGTCTTTTGACTTTAATCATGGCTTCTTTGAAAAGAAATTGTATAATTTATAAGTGTAACAACACTAAATAGACTTTTCATGGTGGAAAGATTTTGTGTAAAATTATCTCTTGATCTTGGATCATAAATATACTCTATTTTTTAAACTCTTACAATTGTACTTTTCACATTTGTCTTTAATTCACATAAACTTGATAGAAGCATGACATACATTAGGGCTTCGGATTCTTATTTCCTATGGCAGTGGTCCCATCACCACTAATTGAAATGTACAGCTTCTTCATACTGATCTGTAGTGCACATTCCTCTTGTGTCGAGTTTGCATGGATATGTGGATCTGGCTCTGGACTCTGATCCTCTTCCATTACTCTGTTTATCCAGCCTTGCCCATGTCATACTGTTTTTATCATTAAGCCCACATTGCTTTACTTCAACCCTGGCTTAGTTTTTCTTGATTCTGCCTTATGAACTGATTTTTTCATTAATTTGTCAAGTTTTATAAAACACTCTGTTGGGATTTTTATTGGAATTGCATTAAATTTACTTGTCAGAATAGACATTTTTACGATACCATGTTGTTCCCATTCACAGACATATGTCTCTTCAGTCAGCTTTTTAAACTATCCTTGGATAATATTTTATAATTTTTCCAAAACATTCCTACCTGTAGCTTTTAAAAATTCATTCTGAGGGATGGGGTTGTAGCTCAGTGGTATAGTGTTTACTTAACTGGGTTCAGTCTCCAGTACTATTAAAAAAAATTCATCCCTCGATAGCTTTAGATGTTACTCTGACTAGAACACTTTTTCTAGTCTTTTAACTTGCAATATTATTCTCATCTATAAATGACTTTTATTTTTATATGTAGATA